TCTAAAAAAATAAAAATTTATTTTATATTATAAAGATTTCTTAAAGGGTTCTTAGATTTGTATCCTTCAGTGTATAAACATGTAACAAAGTAATTCATGATACAGCCATTAGCAGTTAATATTTTCCAGGCCTCTTATGAAGCTAGAAGGCAAACCAAAGATTGGTGGGGCAGATTTTGTTTTCGGTCAAAATTTCTTTATCAGGATGGAATTTTTTCAACCCCATCAAATCAACTCTACATATTGACATGTGAAAACAGAGTTTCAGCATTAAGTTCACTGAGTTTGCTCTCAAGGGGCCTTCTCATCAATCCTCTGGCCTTTCTTCCAGTAAATGCCAATGAACCAACCAGTAAATGCTGATGGGCCAAGCATGCCAAATAGAATGAGCTAATGTTAGAAGACACGAAATACATCCCCTGTCAAAGAGGCTAATAATATGCTAATATATACTTTAGACATCATTGTCATCTCAAATGATATCAATGAAGATAAAATAATTTTTCTTACTTTAAATCAATGTAAAGGTGCAGGTAGAAGTGCTATATTTTTTTCTAAAGAAGTATATACTCTATTAGGAAAGTAGAAAAAATAATGTTCATTACAGTACTGAGCTATCATGAAGGACTTGGCTTTCTACTAGAAAAGTCCTGTAGCACTCAATCAAAATATTTGATTTACCTTTACCTACCTTCCATCAATAGAAATGAAAAAGATAATGAGTTGTGAAATTTCACTTACCTGAGTTGGCTGTAGGAAAACAATTATTGGAATAAAAAAGCTATGGAGCAACTGTGGGCTAACTATTCAATAAGCAACTTCCAAGATAAAATACACAATGCAGCATCTAAATGTCAGTCTGTAACCAAAGTAACAAAACTAGTTAAAAAAAATTTCTATTATAATATGATTCAATCCATTTTGCTACCAATCTTCTCTTTGCAAAGCAACTGGAAGAGATCCAAACAATCAGTCATCTCAGTCACACTGGATAGAAGGAGACACTTGATCTGTTTGATTGTCACTAGTCTAGCTCTTAGGGTTCAAATGATGTCTGATTTGTCTATATTTGTGTCACTAGAACTCATGTTACCTGAACTCCTTGAACTGTTTTCCAAGCAAAGAGTCATACCCAAAGCAAGTTCTCCAAAGGAGGCCATACACATGCAAAAAGATGTTGCCAGATTTTCCAGAAAGATTGCAACCATGCTGACTTGGTTTTAGTCCAAAAAGACCCATTTTAGACCTCTGATCTCCAGAACTACAGGGTATAGGGTAATAAATTTGTGTTGATTTTAACCCACATGTTTGTGGTAATTTGAACAGCACCAATAGAAAGTTCTTGAGTTACACACACACACACACACACACACACACACACACACACACACGCACACCTACCTAAAAGAGAGCCCGCCAAGAAAATAGAAAGTTACTCATTGGCAGATGTCTTCCAATAGATGATTTACTAAAAAATACCCCACAATTATGAAGTCATCACTATCACTTGCTGACATAAAGAAAAGCTTCGTATATACAACCCATAAGATCTCACACAAATAATGAAAACAACAGCAAGTTAATATGTGGGTAAAGGACTACTGAAAATAATTTGGAAAAGAAAAAAATATAAATGGCTAATAAAATATGAAAATGTTTCAGATGAATAAAACTATTGTAAATTAAATAAATGAAGAGATATAATTTGTGTATTATATTGGCTATATTTTCAAGGGTGAGGCAAAGCAAGCATTATCATTCACTGCTATAGTAGGATAAAATGTGTTATTTATGGCACTTCTTGGAATCAGATAATCCAGAATACAGAAAAAGTATTAATATTCATCATAATAGTATTTATAATGAAAACAATGTTCAATAATAGGAGGTTACTTAAATACATTATCATATATAAATTATGCTAATATATGTAGTTAGTAATAATTAAGCTTATGAAAAATATTGATGTGGGTCATAAGACTATCACCATGGCATATAGCAACTATGAGAAAAATAATTGGAAGAAAATCCATTCGGAAGTTTTTAGTAATAGGATTGTAGACCAATTCTTTCTTCTGCATGCAACTGGTTTATTGAATGAGCTGGACTTGATAAAATACAATTAAAATGCATTTTATTCTTTCTCCCATTGCCCCTTCAAGTACAGTTTCTGGCCATCGGTCTATCTCACCCTTTGTATGACATTTCAGGGCAGAACTTATAGCTCTTTTGGTCCCCTGTAAATATTAAAAGGCCCAGCCCATAATAGCAAAAAGATAAATAAAAATGTTGCAGAGACCCTAGCTGGTTTGGCTCAGTGAATAGAGCATCGTCCTGTAAACTGAAGGAACCCGGGTTCAATTCCGGTCAAGGGCACATACCTTGGTTGCATGCTTGATCCCCAGCCCTGGTTGGGATGCTTGCGGAGGCAACAAATCAATATGTCTCTCTCTGTGTCTCACCCTCTCCCTTCCACTCTCTCTAAAAGTCAATGGAAAAATATCCTCGAATAAGGATTAACAACAACAGCAAAAAATGTTGCAAAGGATTTGGAGAAAAGGGAACCTTCATACACTGTTGGTGGGAGTTTAAATTGGTACAGACACTATGGAAAACAATATGGAGATTTCTCCAAAAAGTAAAAATATAACTATCATATGATCCAGCTATTTCACTCTGGGTATTTATCCAAAGAATATAACACTAATTTGATGGCATTAATATGATAACACTAATCCCCATATTCATTGTAGGATTATTTACAATATCCAAGATATGGAAACAACCTGTGTCCATTGATGGATGAATGGATAAAGAAGCTGTGATAGATAGATAGATAGATAGATAGATAGATAGATAGATAGATAGATAGATAGATGTAATACTACTCAGTCACAAAAAAGAATGAAATCTTGCCATTGCAGCTATATGGATGGACAGTGAGGGTATTATGTATGCTAAGTGAAATAAGTCAGATGGAGAAAGACAAATATCCTATGATTTCTTTATTCATACATGGAATCTAAAAAAATAAAACAGAACAAAAAATTCTTAGATACAGAGGACAAATTGGTGGTTACCAGAGGGAGGGACTTTGCAGGAGGGTGAAATGGGTAAAGCGGTCAATTATATGGTGTTGGATGGTGACTGGACTTTTGCTGATGATCATTTGTAGAGTATACAGATGTCTAATGATAATATTCTACACCTAAAACTTATATCATATTGTACACCAATTTTATCTCAATTTTTTTTAAAATAAAAAGTTCAGCCCCAGCCAGTGCAAACTCTCCTCTACTTAAACTCTCCTCCTCAGCCTGGGTCTGAATTCAACTTGCATATCAGCAGTGAGGAAAGGACCTCTCACTGTTTTTCCCTCTTCTCACTCCACTTCTCTCTGTTGGGTTATTCCAGAGATGCAGTGAAAGGAGGACTCATGGAGAAGAGATAAGGAACAGGTCTTACATGGCTGGTTCCGTTGTAATCCAGCAGGAGGTGCTCCCTGGGTGGAACAGATTCCAACTGCAGCTCTTCCTTTTGTAGGTGCTTTTGTGGGTTCTTCAGAAACCCACCCCAGCCATTCTTTGGCATCCTCACCTGGTTCTCTGGATGATCGGCCTCTCTAGCTGGCCACTTGACATTCTTACACATCTTCTATATACTAAGTAGCAGCATCATTCTTCTGAGGCCACCTGCACAGCCAGCTCTCTCCAAAAGGCTTTACCTGCCAGGCTAAGGGCACCCATACACCTGACCGGCCATGCCTCTCAGCCCTGTGTCTGCACACACTGTCACCAAAAGCACACTTAGCCACAGCCCTTTAAATTTTGACTTCTTCAAATGTGTATTAAGTGCCAAGCACCTGTGTTCCCCAAATTACAAGAACCTTGTCAGGCTCCCCATGTTTCTGTTTCTCTGAAATACCCCCTCACTTGGTTTGGATGAGAAAAGGCACCCCTTGGGGTGAGAGGACCTTTCAGTACTCTGGCAAGTCTCTCTATATAAGTTCTTCTCACTCTAACCTTTCGCCCTCTGAGAGACTTCTTGGCCTTTGTCTAGACAGTCTAAGCTGGTTATGAGTTCAAAGTCCTCATCTACCTGGGCAGTCACAAACACCAGTTACATTATTCTTTGCATTCAGCCTTTGACACTGGGACTATCAGAAAAGTTTCCTTCCCAATGTGTTTTATAAGGAGAAGGAGGGACAGACTTTAACAATGGAGAGAAAGGCAAGAAGACAGACTCTAATACTTTTTCATCAAAGTATTTATCGAAGTAATTTCAGACTAAACTAGATTCGATGACAATTTTGTCTTCTAAGAATTTCAGTGTCACTGGCTCCATAGGATAAAAATTGTCTTCTCAATATAAGTAGAAAAAAATGTAGAAAGCCAGAAAGCACCTGCATTTATTCTTTTCACTACTAGTATCCAAAGTATAAATGATCTTATCTATTTTATTTTACTACTAATACCTGAAAGTTAATGCATTTCATTATGATATAATTAACAAAAATGGCATTTAAATAGAATTTATATTCTCTGAGCATTTTAAATGGTTCAATAGATAATTGGTGTTTAATTGATAATTGATGTATTTTGATTTCTTTTTTGTTATTAAACATTAAAATAGTTGTAATAATAATTAATGAGTGCAGCTACAGATTGCTCTATAAATAGTCAAAACTTTAAAATATATGTTCTGCATAACCTGTGGTGATCTTAAAATGTAAGCCCTATAAATTCCAAATCAAAATCTAAGTGAAATACCTAGAAATTGGTTTTTTCCCATTATTGTATTTTTTTAGAAAGCTATTAAAGCTGAGTAGAAATGAAAAGCCTCCTTAAAATCACAGCTATTATGCAAAACCAAGATTTTTTCCTATTACAGATTTATAGACGTTACTGCCATATATTCTTTCTCTATTGGATTATATAGGCTCTGTAATTATGGACATTTGGATTAGATTCTTAAAGTATTTTCTTTTCTCTCCTTTGCAGTTGGTTGGTTTTGTGTATGCCTGTTATGTGATCAGTATTTTCATGGAAGAAGAGGATACCTGTAAGTATTGTTACATCTCCCTGAGGGTTGATTTTGGATGAGATATAGCTCCCAAAACTAATCATTACAGGGCTCTGAAATCATTCCCATTTGGAACTGAAAATGACTGAACTCACCATCGTAAAGTTACAATCAAGCATTTATAAGCCAAACTGTACTCAAATCAGATGGCACTGAGTATTGCAACTCTCAACCCAAATTGTATGGGAAGCTTCCCAGAGACACAGACGCCTACAGATTGCTGTCACAACATGTCTTAGTAACTTTTCATCAGAGACCTAAACAGTATGCTGAGTAGAAAATTCGGGGTTGCTTTATCCATCACCCCTGTAAGGATGCTGGCTGCAGAATTTTGAAATCTGACTAATAGCAATGACATCAATACAACAATACCCATTATAGCAAGCTCTACATGTGTATAAACTATATAAAATGCTCTGAGAAAACCAAAAATGACAATCTTCTAGGCAAAATGTAAAAAAACAGAGAGATGCTGAAAAAGCTAAGCAATCACATTTTAGCAGGAACACACACACACACACACACACACACACACAATACCTACACAACCTGAAAAGTTATATAGGTAGAGATTTTGCAACATAGGTCAACCACTGGCATTTCTTAAACACCTACCTGCTAATGTATAAGGCACTTCTTGGCACAACTCTGTCATGGGCTCACATAATACCAAAGGAAATTTTAATTTATTTAAAACTAATAATTATTACACCCAACCATATCAGAGATTTGGTTATATCATTGCAGTTACTGTCTGAGTTGTAAAGTTGACTCTTTAACAAAATGAGGGTAAGTTTCTAGCTAGCCATGTAACTTTCTAGAACACAACTCCAAAGGGGTCTGATGAATGCTCCCCACCAAACAGAGGTAGTACATGATACATAAACTGGAAACCAGTTGGCAATAAGTTCCCACCTCAATTTATTTGACCAAATGGAATAAATATTAGACCCTGGGAAGAAACTCATCAGGCAGTGAAGACATGTAAACAGACTGCATCTTATCTGTTACGCTTGCCTTGGGTATTTTTTTTATGCTAGATGAGCCAGCAAGTTTCTGACATTTCAAAAGTGCAGCTGTAATGACAACACTTCCCACTATGAGGTTGAACGTCAAAAAGTCGATCCTTGAGAGTTCCATTAGTAGTTAATTCTACAATCTGACAATGTTAATGTATAAAAAGTCAGCAGCCTGCCTCCTACTCACAGCCAAAACACAACTGGTTGAGTATGAACAGTTTTACCTGGAAGAGGGATCAAAAGAAAATGAGTAGAATTGGGGATGAATAAATACTTCAGAAATTGAAACACTGAATGATAAATCTCAATTAAATTCGGTATGATACTTTTGAGTAGGTATTGAAAGAATCCTCTTTCTTTTTTTCTCACTGAATTGGTTGGAGGCTCTCAAACGATGCGAATGCTCTGTCCTGCCTTATTGAGTGTGAAAAGGCAGAATAATCAATAGTCTTTATTATCTAGTAGAATAAATATAGAAAGGACTTTTCTTTGAGGCTGTGATTTTTAAGTAAACCTGGAAAATGCAAAATGACATGCATAATAAAAGGTTCATCTAAATTGAGTAAACGTTTTTTGACCTTCTATCAGCCTTCTGGTAGAGTATTAATGTGAGTGTATATAGATTATATGATGCTGGCAGATATTATAGTTTCATCGACTTTGGTGTCTTTAATTAGCTTAAGTTTCTCTATAGAAATCTCTGAATCAGCTATTTTAATACCCATCAAACTGGGATTGAAGCAGCTGCTAGCAGCCTTTTCCATTAACGGTTTAATTCTGGTGTTTGTTATTGGGGCCATGCATTAAGTTACCGAGAGACATCTGGATATAGTAGTTGTGTTACCATCAATTCAAATAATACTTAGAGTCAGAAACTGAGTCTTGTGTGCTCAAAACAAAGTAAATATGCCCTCGACCAACCTGACATGATAATCTGCTGGAAGAGAGATGACAGTGAAAAGCAATCACAAACCTTTTAGTCTGATCGTTCTCAAGCAAGGGTAATTTTATATTCTTTTTATTGATAGAAGTGGGAATCAAAAGTGCACTTGTAATTGAATTGCCCAGAGTCTCCAGAAGGCAGATGTGAGCAAAAAGAAATCTATGAAACCAATTGCAATGATCTCATAGACTAGTACAATTTGTGCCAACACTTAGCTTTTAGGTGCAATAATGAACTGCCCTTTGGATATGACCTTACCAGCCCACAGCTAAGAAGACGTGTCTTTTGAATTGTTTTTCCAAAAGTAAAACATAAAATAAGAAAACAATACGGCTAGCTTTCCAATTTGTCTAAGTACACTTCTGGAAAGCTTATTCCGAAAGGTAACTGCAAGTATATAATGTAATGTCACAGTATTTTGGCAGACAATATATTATTTATCATTTCCTATTCCAACTAATGAAAATCTCTGCATTATTCAGAATGCAAAGTTAAGCCTTGCTCTTGGACTGAAAGCTGTCAGCCAGCCTTAAAATTAATAATAGCTATCTGCTTTTCTCCTCTGCCATGCTAAGTGCTTCTATGGGACTAACATTTCAGTGATGGACATTTCTGAAAAGTCCTAAATGCTTGAGGAAACATTTATTTCCAACCACCCATCTTCTTAGTTACTTCTAGGCTTCCTTTGCTATTTCCTATAAAGACCATGATTACAGGTCAAAGAGAAGAAAAGCTCAAAAGAAAGAGTGCTGATGGGTGGGGTCAATACTTTCTATCATCCATTTTCATGAAAAACCCATTTTTATATATTTGCTTCTTTTTTATTTCTTTTTAAAATATCTATCAATCTCCATGAGCACTTTTGTGAGACCAGGATATTTGGAATGTGTAGTCATAAAAACCTGTCAACATCTTGTTTGTGAATCATCTATTGCTGAAAATGAACTTGTGGGCTTGCTCTATCTTGTCAAATTTACTAAAAAGAATGTTTTAATTCAGGGAGATGTGGAGGTGAGGCAAAAAAAATGCTGAAAACAGTATTAACTTGTACAGTTATAAATATTGCCAGGCTTTTTCAGGGGGTCTGTTGCTAACGCGACTCCTTCTATGTCAGCTTGCCAGTTACAACTAGGACATCTGTTTGGACTCACAAAGGCCAGTCTGGGTTTTAGATGTGGAATGGTGGGAGAGAAGTATATTGAAAACCCTACCAGTTTTAAAAAGGAAATGAACCCCCATATGTAGGCTCAATATTTTGCATTGAATAGCTCAAAGTAGCTCTTTGTGCAGCCATCTGACCCTTTCTAGTCTACTTTTTGGGAATTTTTCAGTGGGAGGAAGTGTGACTATTGGAAAAATATTCCATAGCTCTACTGCTCCTTGAGGCTTCCTGCAGGCTAGTATTCATGTATTTGCCTCTTTACTCATGAGTTCCTTTTAAAAGGATAAGGTGATGTTACCATAGCTATGATGTGAATTGGAAATAAAAATAGCCCCTATGTCCTCCTAAGAATTTAGCTTTGTAATTGATGGAGAAGACAGAGAGCAGTGGAGTAACCCTGGCCAGAGGGGGAGAAGAGAAAGCAGCAAGGGCTGGATGATCCTCAGAATAGAAAACAGGTTGGTTGTCTTGTGAGCCTTGAAATATTTGCGTATTTAAGGGTGGAGGAACAGAAGAATTTTCTGAGTCAAATATGGAGAAAAGCATGAGACTTGGGTAAGGGTGATACTGTTGTCACAGTCGACATGTCAAAGGAGTCATAGTATTTGTGCAATAAACCATTAAACGTCTACTGGTTCTCAGAGAGTATTTCTTTTGGTAACTGTCTGGTGAGTTGCATGTAACTATCCTCACCACAGTTCAGATATAGAACCTGTAACATTTCTCCTAATTTGCCAAGATGACTACCAAATAGCTACAAAAGTACTAGCAATCAGAATAGATCTGTGAGGGCAGGATCTTTACTCTGGTCCCTGATAGAACCATAGAGCCTAGAAAAATGCTTAGCATCCAATTAAGAAATGTTTGTTGAGTGTATATGTTAAATGTATTCTCTTGGCCTAGCAACTTATTTTTCAAAATGTATTTCAAGATCCCAAGATTTTCAAATCTAATGAAATGACTATGCCTTGTGTTCAGAATTTAGTGAGATGCCTGATGCATTTGCAATTATTTGAGGTCCTGTATCTCTTAAACATAATTGAATGGAATTTTTGTAATTTAGAATGTCAAGATATTGGAAGATGAATTAAACCTCCACTATACCACATCAGAGAAAGAGCTTGTCGATTCCTGGACAAAACATCTCAGAGGGAACGGAGACTTGGAAAGTTGGTGCATTCACAGACTGAATCCAAGTACAAAATATGGCCCAGGGGACAGACCCACTGTCAGAGAGGCAGGCCCAACAGGGTGGTGATTTGGGGCAGCCCACACCTGGGAAAGTTGAGCAGCACAGAATAGGATCCTAGCTACAGTGTTATGATTCAGAGATAGACTTCCAGTCCTTTGGTGGGTTATTAAGACAGTTTCTCAAGAATAATATTATAGTTTCCTCAAAAAACTAAAAATGGAACTCCCATTTGACCCCGTGATCCCACTTCTAGGAATATATCCCAAGAAAACAGAAACACCAATCAGAAAGGATATATGCACCCCTATGTTCATAGCAGCACAATTCACCATAGCTAAGATCTGGAAACAGCCTAAGTGCCCATCAGTAGATGAACGGATTAGAAAACTGTGGTACATCTACATAATGGAATACTATGCTGCTGTAAAAAAGAAGGAACTCTTACCATTTGCAACAGCATGGATGGAACTGGAGAGCATTATGCTAAGTGAAATAAGCCAGTCAATGAAGGAAAAATGCCACATGATCTCACTCATTCATGGATAATAGAGACCATTATAAACTTATGAACAAAAGTAGATACAGAGGCAGAGCTGCCTCGAACAGACAGTCAAACTACAGCGGGAAGGCCAGGAGGGTTGGGGGGCAAGAGGGGTGGGGCAG